ATGTGTCCCCGGGCGGCATTCTGCGGCCACTGTCTGCATCAAGCCCAGTGTAAACACGGACTTATTCCCGATGACGAAATGTGGCAAGCTCTGCTGAAGCTCGTCGTTGTCTGATATCACTGCCACATAGCTCACAAATGTCCGCAAGTCACCCTTGCGAACCGGCAGACGTGGGCCCTCCACGTCTGCTCCCCAGTGGCGGCGTTGGACCACCAATCCACAAAGAGGGTGCGGCGTCAGAGCTACAGATGTCTCATCAAGGTTGAGATGCAAAAGACGTCGGGGTGCACTTGCATGTCGAAGGAAGCTGAGCGATTGGAAGAACACCGCCACCTCTGCCCGGACACAAATTCAGATTTGGGCCCCCCATTTTTTGGGCCAGAAAGCGGTCCCGTTTTTGGTACTGGGCCGATTTGCAACTCCAAATATGATGCTTGCTTGTGACCCCAAAAAAGGCTCCTCAATCTATGCAAAAAGTCTTAACTTCAGAAGAAAATGCACCCAAGCCTTCTGGGGCAAGCGCGCAGGCTCCACAGCCACACGCACTGGCACGGTTCCTCTACTCACATCCCAACGTTTACACCATCGCTGCAACCACTTCCGGCCGCCACGGTTTGTGGCAGCCCGGCAGCCAGCATGATCACCCAATCTTCGTCGAAACTCGAAGAGGGCCGCCTCCGAGGTCGGAGCCGAGTGACAACGAAAGTTCTGCTGCCGAACCCAGCGAAAAAGGTTGGCCTCTGCCAAGAAAACGTGAGCTTCTCGAGAAGCATGTTTTTGGGCCGCCGTCTGCGGATCTGTACAGGCATGAACATCAGAAGCCGCAGCTTCCCGGTAAAGATTCTGGACAAACGTAATGCTTGGCAGCGTGTCGTCAGACGCTGCACGCCTCTGTAGTTGTCGGGCGTGCTGCATGGCCACTATTGCATTGTGACCGCTGAGAACATAGGTACACAAGACCTGATGCCGCTGCTTTGGGGAAAGTCCGCACGGCCAACTCACTCTGTGGGCTTTTCGGGCTGCCCTGACAAGCGGCCGCTGTCCTTCTCGCAAGCGCTGTTGCAGCTCGCGGCAGGTCCGCTTCAGAGAACACAAGCGACAGGTAGCTGCTTGGCAACGGCACTCCATGGTACAGAGCACTTCAGCACCGCAAAGCACTTCCTTTTGGAGGCTCATGCGCAGGCAAACTGCGGAAGTGCGAAAACGTCAGACGAGGCTTGGAGATGTAACTCTTGCAAGATTTCGTCGACAGTCTGCCTGCACCACTACCAACTACGTCGCTGACTCCTGACGCTAAGAACTTGGCCAGACATGCACACGACAAGCTGTGACGAACGACAGTCAAATACGGTCGATTCAATCTCGGCAAGGGCAACACAATGGCCCTCTATCCTTACGTCATGGTCGATGTGCGAACCAACAACGACTTGGCAATACAGCAGCGGTAACCCGCAACATACTTGGAAATACCTGGCTTTCCTGCACCCCAAACTGGGGCCGCTGGTAAGGCACCGTGGAACAACAACAGTTGAGATCTGGCCAACCACCATCTTGCCGCCGGCCTTAAGATGACAGAGTCCCCCTCCAGAGACCTCCCTTACCAGTTTGGGCAAGTGCCCACCCTTCAACAGCGGAAATCTGGCCAAACGCCGTCTTGCAGCGACTTGGCACGACCTTCTGCGTCGGTGCAAAAGGAACGTCAAAGTAACCTGGACCTGACTTGGAGCTGGAACACCCCCAGGGTAACCCGCACATGAGCGTCCCGACGCCGAGCGGACAGCCTGTGCGCCGGTGAAAGCTTCCCAAGGCGCAGCATCATCGGAAAAAAAAGGGGGAGGGGTGCACGAGCAAGATGAACACCGTCCTGAGCCACGGCGGATAGGAGCAAAAAAAGGGGAGAGGGGTTTGAGCAATGGTGAGCATCAGCAAACAAAAAGGAGGGGCGTCAGGTACTTGCAGGCAAAGCCGCTTCCCCTAGCCCCTTGAGCCCTAAAGTCTTCTTCTGGTGTCTTCTTCTGGGGGACAACCGGGCAGTGGAAAGATGAACACTCTTGCACGCAACAGGCTGTCTGTGACACTGTGCTAGGTGTGCCAGAAGCGGCGTGAAGCCAACTGGACGCGTAAAAGCCAGACAGCTATCGAGCTTGCAACATGCCTTTTCGAGACGATGGTGCTCAAGCCTGTGCACGTTTGAACGCAACAGCTGGCATCTGTCAGAAGCATGGAAGCTGCCCGCGTACTGTCAACCACAAACCACTGGAACATGTGTACAATTGGCATGCGCCTTCACAGCAATCTGATGTACTCAGGCTTATGGAAGACATAGCTGACAGCTTCGGAAGAAAGGATGCAGGACATGTGAACGATGCACAGGACGGAGAGCAACAAGTCTGGAAATCCAAGGTTGTCGCCTGCCTGTTGCCTGGATTTGGCGTGCACCCGATGGCAAGCAGCAGTTTTCCTGTCGCACATCAGTTGAGCCCGACTTGGCTGGGCATGACAAGCCAGAGCATGCGGGCATTCGCAGGCCTCAGCACACGCGCGGCCGCGGCCCGCCCTCCCGCCCAAGCCCCCTCCCACCGCCCTACATGCTTGAAAAAAAGCGGGCGCGGTTCAAAGCAAGCTCAATAATCAGAAAACATGTCAAAAATCATGCAACTCCAAACAAGCGAAAAACACAACAAAACACTGCAACTGTTGGTGATATCTAGGTAGTTTGACATGCCCGAGCCGTTCAGAACGAAGGACAACACTTCCAAAACATTGTTGCATGTGAAAAAAGCCTTTGTCTGCTCCAACTTGAAAGGAAAAACAGTTATTTGTATTTTTCAATCGGTTCTTGAGCCAGAGCTGCCTCCTGGCGTCCATTTCTGCCCCCAAAAGCGGCTTGCCCAAAGATGGTTGCCGAGTCTTCCCCTATCATTGGCTCACTGTCCAAGCCTGCGAAACGCTGCGCAGGAACGTGACAGGACCCAATGTCTACCTTCTCTCATTGCAGAAACCATTACCGCAGGACCGCACAGGACAAGCCACGTACGAGAACTGCAAGATGACACGCGTGGTCCTGCAAAACCGTTGTGGGACAATAGAATTATTAGTCCAAAAAACGGATTTGCAGGACCACGGGTTTTCGAGGCCTGCTTTCCCGGAACGTTTCGCGGGGCCGCGTGCCCAGAGCAAGCTTCTAGTGGTCTCCAGGTCTTTGGCCACGAGGTGGTAGGAGACGAAGGAACGTCCACAATGGGACTGGCTGCCCCGGAACTCCAAGGGAACATCCCTGGGCTGGGTTGTTCGTGGGGTGTGAGCAAAATGAGCACCAGGGATGCAGCATGAGCATGACAAAGGGGGGCGTTTGAGCAAAACGAGCACCAGGGATATGAGCATGACAAAGGGGGGGGGGGGCGTCTGAGCAAAACGAACAACATGTATTTCATGTACCTGTTTCTGTACACGTCACGTGCAGAGACGCGCAAAGCACAAGCATTGCGGAGCCATTATGCAGTGGTTTTGCCTCAACCCAAGAACTTGGCCGAAGCATGCCCATGTTTGTCTCACATCCTTGAGCGGCACTTCGCACGTGTGAGGAACATGGAGAAAGGAGAGATTGTGTGAGAGCGATAGAAAATGCGCCCTGTCCGAACTGCCAGCATGCGTCCCCCCCCGTAGCTATGCTTCTGCTCACCGTCTACACGTCCTTACCTTCAAAAACTTAGGCCCAAGTATGCACATGTTTGTCTCACATCCGTCAGCGGCACTTCACAAACATTGACAAACGAGAGCTTGTGTGAAAGAGAAAGGGAGAGCTAGACAGAATGCGCCCTCTCCGACGTGGCCAAAATGCCCTTACCGTCGCTATGCTTCTGCTCACCGTCTCCACGTCCTTACCTTCAAAAACTTAGGCGCATGCCCAAGCATGTCCATGTTTATCCCACATCCTTGAGCGGCACTTAAGCGCGCGAGATTGTGTGAGAAAACGAGAGCGTGAGAGAGTGTGAAAGAAACTGTGCCCTGCTCTGTAGGACCAAAAAGCGAAAACACCCTCCAAAATATAATCAAAACCATACAAAAACAATCAAGTTTGACATGTCGGGCGTAGT